GGGGCTCTTTGATTTTCTCGGCGGCAGCGACCCTGGTTCTGCGGCCCAATGTCGGGAGGACTGCCGGAAGGAGGAGCTGTTCCCCACTGGTGAAGGAGGATTCGTCCCCTGAATAGGTTTCTCCGTTGGTGCAGGTGCTAGGATGGGGTGCGGGCTGCCGAGTTCCTGGTGCTTTCCGCTGTGGCGTGCCTCCGGTGGTCCTTCGGTGTTGGGTGGTGGTCCCGTCTCTCTCCCTTTTTGGGGAAATTCGGGTACGGAGGGTCCGCTACTTTTCACCGGGCTGTTCTTCTTCCTGATGTTGGTTGGAGGGGTGGTCGGCAAGGCCAGACCGGGGTCCGGGCTGTTTTGGTTTGGGCCCTGTCGTTGGTTTTGGTGGTGGGTGGTTGTGGTGTGGTTCTCCGGGCTAGGGCTTGGATGTTTGTCCGGATTTGGGTCGGGGCTGTTGGTTTTTGGTCTTGGTTAGGCGTTTATTGCAGTTTCTGAGTCCGATGCCGGGGTCGTGGCTCTGTCCGATTGGATGGAGGTCCTTTGTGCTGCCGCTGTGAAGATTGGAGTTGTTTCGTCGCTGAGGGGATGGTTGTTTTGTTTGTAGTTCTTTTTTGTTAGTTTTTAGTTTGTGTTGTTGTTAGTGTTTTTAGTTTGTTTAGTGTTTTTGGTTTAGTTTCCTTCGTGTCCTTTCTCCCGTAGGGGAACCCTTTCTCCCGTAGGGGAGCCCTTTCTCCCGCAGGGGAGCCTTTCTCCCGTAGGAGAGTTCTTTCTCCCGCAGGGGAGCTCTTTCTCCGGTCAGGGAGTTCTTTATCCTGTTCTGGTGCTTGTTTTTCTTTGTTTGTGGGTGTGTTTGTTATAGTGTAGTCTCTAGGCAATCATTTGGATTTGTCCTCCCACTAGATTCAGCTTTTTAGCTGTCCTTTCGGCTTATGAGCTGTTTCTGGATGTATTTATGTGTTTTATGTTATAATATTTCTATCGTTTCGAAAAAAAAAGAAAGACCCTTGACCCTAAATAAAGAAAAAAACTTAATGAAAAATAAAATTTATAAGACAATCCCTTTTTTACCCTCACTTGTATTGTCTTCAATAACTTGAGACTTAGAAAAAAAAAACCGCAAAATCGATTGATCTCATTCTGCTCTCTCTCTTGCGACGCACCTCTCAACTCTATCTCCCGCGCCGACATCAACATCTCTCTCTCCCTCGCGACGTCTCTCTCTGTGACACCCGACCCTATGGAGCTCTCTCTCGTCAACTTCGGTACGTATTTTTTCAGTTTTTGTCAATTTTTTCTTTTATTTAATTTTCGCATCCATGTCCATACGAGAAACTACTAAAAGACTAAAGGAGTGAAGTGAAGACACTATTCGAGCCTCCATTTATAGAGTGGTAGAATCAGAGAGCAGTACGAATTGCTCCAATGGCACTTACTACATGAACAAAGAACCTTTGCGGAACCCTTTTACCTAAAAAATCGTGGTGAAGTCAGCAATGGATTCGGCGGATCATCCACGTCACGAAATTGGATGGCAGGCACAATTCTGACTAGTTTTCCACACTACTTTTCTGCAGTTGAAGACTATCATGCCTGTTTAATGAAAAACTGGCTGGATATTCTTGCCCTCTGCTAATGTTTTTCTGCTAACTTTTGGCTTTTGCGGATGGGTAATCGCATTTTTGGGACCTTAGTTGATGTGAAGTTGCACCCCAAATCAGCTCTTCAAGATCCCTCGACCGATTTGCTCCCCAGAGACCAGTTCTTAAAACGTGCATCACACAATGCGTTACGTTTAGGTCTTTATATTGCGTAGCGTAAATAGTGTAGCGCTTTGCATAAGCTATTCGAGCAATTCACTTTTAATGCCAAAAATAAAAATATATAACCATAGAAGTAAATAAATAATTCAAATGGTCTTAAACTATAAACTTGGACATTAAATCTAAAAACTAACATGGCCAATTATACCGTCAGGTAACCTTGTACTTTGACTTGTACCTACTTAACAACAGGTACCTCTTAAGTGATTGACACGTGTTCTTTTGCTTATTTTAATAAATAAAAAATCAAATAAATGCATGTTAGAAATAAGAAAATGACCTTACTTAAAAAATTAAAAAAAAAATTATAAATTGTTAATTAATTTACTTGTAAAAGATGTTGAACTTTTCCAATCTTATGAATTTGGCTTAAACAAACTTATGAATCTCAAATAAACCACCAAACATTATTAAATTGCATTTCGATTTATATGACTCGATTCTTTTTTTTTTTTAATTCCTCTTGTTGAACCCTAACTTGTAACTATTTTTCGATCTCCCCGACCGATTGTCGGAGTGAAAAATGAGAGAAACCCTCCAATCGCCGCTCTCTTGTTAAATCTCATCGTCGGGATAGCGATTTCGAGCCCCGACATCGGATTCTACAGTAAAGTTATTCATATTTCCCTGTTGTGTTTAATATTCATTTGGTTGTGGCTGTGGTACAAAAATTGTCTTCTCCTCCTTGGTAACTACAATTCATTTCCCTGTTAGGTTTTTTCAGCGGGATTTTTAGTTATTGTGCTTTTTCTTATGTGATTGGATTTTACTTGGGAAGAAAATGAAAAGGAATGTTGGAATAAGGGTAGGTCTTTATTTAGCTCTCTTTCTCACATTCATATGTGAAAGTTGTTTAGTTGCATATGTAGGCTTCTTAGAACAGTTATTTATATTCCATGAATCGAGAAAAGTATATTTAAATTGTGTAAAGTTAAAATTCGTTGTAGGCTTCTTCAAGGGTTGAAATTGCATGATACCCTGATCTCACTCATCAAACCATTTAAGTGTCACTTAAGAATGTTCCTGGGAAGCAAAGATGGATGCGCACCGGTCAAATGTAAGGCCGCTGGCTCTCACCACAATCCCGATTGTGGCACCGGTCACTGTTTTTGTGCCTTCGTTTCCAGAAAGCTAGTGGATGATTTTTGTGATAACTGGGGCGCATCAATCATGGTCATTTCCATTGTTTCATCCCAGTCATTATCCACCCTATCAAGGTCCAGCAAGGCTTGATATGCAGACTTCGATGTGAAAGACCACAATCAAGCAATCAAAGTGAGAGGAAAAGATCATAAGTTCTCCTCGTTTTCTCAAAGCAATCAAAGTGCAGGGATCTGTTTCATCAAAAGGCTTACCTCAGAAAGGAGGGTTAGTGCTCCACCATTTAATGAGCGGGTGCCTGTGCACACTCCTTCTCTCGACTCCAGTTGCCATGTTCTATAAAAAGCAGCCACTTTTGGCGTGTTGTTCAAAGGAGTCGAACATCTCGCAACTAGCATTGCTAAATAAAAGTACTGGAACAGCTTACTCTAACTGGAGACACTTGTTTGAGAAGGCTATTGTTATGTGATATTTGACATTTTGAAATGCTATATGGGATAAAGTAATCTAATCTTTAGTTTTATTTACTGATTTCATTAGGTGGGTCACACTTTACTGAACAATGACCTCTGAGGGAACAAGTGCTGATTCTTATCATTTCCGTATGCAGGTCAAGTTTCACATCATATCATATTACTACCTCGGTAAATCCGGTGTAACTCCAGATACTACTTCTCTGTCTCAGCTCAATTTGGAGCAGCTTATGGAAGTCTTAACAACTTTATTTACCTTGTGTGAAGCACATAGAGCGGCATATTCTGTGTGCGTAAATGAAGCTGAGTTTTATCCATTTTAGCTTCTTATCCATATGGGATCTCACAACCAAATAATGCTTAAACCATTATGTTTGTTTACTTTATAATGTGCATTCTTTTCTTGATTTATGAATTTTTAATGTTGTCTGTTTCATATTTGTAGGGTGGACTTTTATCTTTGTGGTTTCGCCACAATCCCTCATGAATCATGAAATCAAAGGAGAATGTGCAGACTGGTCCTGTCCTATGCGTTCGTTTCTCGCCACGAGGCGAATCATTAGCCTGGGGATATGAAGATTGCCCATTACAATATGGCAGACTAAGAAGCTTGTGGAGTCACTGTTTGTCCCATTTTTGTTGCGTTTTTCTTTATTGTTTTGTCTTTCTTTTTTTTCCATGTTAGGTCTTCTCGTCGGTTTTTAGCTCGTTTTAGTGTTTTTTGTGTGTTTCGTGCTATTTTGGTTTTTTGTGTGTTTTCCGTATCTTTTTTCGATTTTTCTTTGTTTATGGTGTGTAGGTCGAAAGCCTCAGGGGGACCGAATTTTAGACAAAAGCTGGTCGTGCAAGCATAATAAAATAGAAGAGTTCGTCGGCGACACACAACAAAAAAAGGGAATCGAATTCCGTTTCCAAACGAACCCAAACGAGCCCCAGACACGGAGAAGCACGAGCTGCACAGGTGATGCGGAAGTGGGTTCCGAGCCCCGACGACAAGAAGGGCCAAGAGCCGAGACAACCCGATGAGGCCGAAAAAAGAGCCAAAACGACGCATGCATGGCCTAAGAGACGGGTACGAGCTCGTATGC